GCCGAGAGGGATTCCTCGCTGCGTGAGAGTGAATGCTCTCAACGGTCGAGACGGATCTCTCGGCTGCTGAGAGTATATGCTCTCAGCGGCCAAGAGGAATTCCTCTCGGCCGCTGAGAGTATATGCTCTCAGCGGCCGAGAGGAATCCCCCTCGGCCACCGAGGGTTGTACACTCTCAGCAGCCAAGAGGAATCCCTCTCGGCCGCCAAGAGTCGTACACTCTCAGCAGCCGAGAGGAATCCCTCTCGGCCGTTGAGAGCATACACTCTCAGCGGCAGAGAGGTATTCCCCTCGGCCGTTGAGACTATTCATATACATATGTAGTTGTTTAATTTTTTATTTAATTTTTTAATTTTTTATTTAATTTCATTATTTTTTTGTTAGGGGAACGACTCCCAAACCTTTTGAAGGTTTTGGAGTTCCGACTCCCAATTTCGGGGTTGGACGTCCTGAGGACCGTCGGCAGACAGTCCTCTCGACGTCCCAGAAATTTGGGAGTCGGAACTCCAATTTCTGGGAGTCGTTTAACTAAGACCCTATAAAAATGAATAACAATTTAACATATGATTATGTATACAAAGATGACAGGAGCAAATACTCATTTGATAAAGACTAGACCCAGGTTCAAAGACTACAGGGATTACAGCAATATACAATGAGAAAAGGTGCCACTCAGACACTTACAAGATACAGTAAAATTAATAATATTTCATCTAAACATCATTAAATTAGTAAGGTGTGATAAATGGATTTTTGTGAAGAAAGAGACAAAATTCCAACAGACAGTAACAGTGGACTGATAAAGTACACTCAAATATTGAAGCAAAATGTCATAATTTATATTTATTTCCCAACTTCAAACTGTTTCAATATCTAAATTTCCCATTACACTTTGTCAACCATTTTTAATACAGTTTATTGAGGCAAGCCCTGGCAATCTGAAATGTAACAAAGAGTTTTCTTGTTATCAACAAACTAATGAACTTATGGCTCTGCCATGTCACACAAATTTATTTCAACACAAGTTCCAGATCAAATAATTGATGATTACACCCAGTTTTGTTCACAGCACATCAATGAGAAGGGTTCACATTTTGATTTGTCCAGATGTGAGTTTAGCTGTTGGAATATTGCTTATTGATCTCTCTCTCTTGCTTTTTCTGTCACATGCCACTCATTTGTCATATTATGTGTCCCTCCTTATTTCTTATTCAATATGCATCAATGTCTGCTCCCACATTGTGCATTTTGTTTCTAGATTCTTTGAGACCCTAGATATTAAGAAATGAAAAACCATCAGCCCTAGCTTTAATTGATCCAGAGGTGACACTTGGGCCTCCCAAGGAATCCCTTCTGGTCAATGAGGCATAATAACTTCATCGGCTGGAAGGAACTGTTCTGGTCAATGAGGTTGTTGTTTCCCATTGACCAGAAGAAAATCTTTCCGGTAATGTGGGAGCAACTCCAAAATCCCCTCAGACATGAGGGGTGGTTTTGGGAGCTGACTCCCAAAAAATTAAAGAATTTTTTTTAAAAAAATATAATATAAATGGATGGCTGACTCTCAAAGTCAGTCATCCATTTGGAAAAATGACTCCCAAGTGACATCCAACGACTGTATTTAGGAGTTGTCAACAAATCCTTGGGAGTTGTTTTTCTGACCCCCTAAAATAAATAAAGAAAAATAAAACCCCCAGGGGTTTTTGGGAGTCGATCCTCTAAAAACCCCAGGGGGGTTGGGAGTTGGCACCTGAAAGCTCTCAGCAGCCACAAGGAATCCCTCTTGGTCACAGAGAGTGTACAACTCTTGCCAGCCAAGAGATATCCATCTTGGCTGTTGAGAGCATACACTCTCATCGGCAAAGATGGATTTGGCAAGAGTTTATTTTTTTACTAGGGGAACAACTCCCAAACCTTTTGGAGGTCTTGGAGGTTCAACTCCCAATTTTGGGGTGAGATGTCCTGAGGACTGTCTGCAGGTTGTTTAACTAGGACCCTTATCAACATAAATAGTGAGTGAGTTTTTTAAGTAGTTTATGGTTAGTTTACTAGTTAAATTTTCTTTTATCCTTTCACTATTCTATATAAGTTCAACCTTTCACTTCATAGATTAGTCACAGCTCTATTTCTCTTATAGTCTCAAAGCTCAGGCACAGTGAAGCTCATTCCACTGCTGTCCCTTGTTATTATAAGGAGCTAGCTGTTGAAATAATGAATACTTCTCCATAGCATGCGAAAGAGACAACAAAGATTAATCCCAGTGGCTTGAGAGAGAAGGGGCAGTGAGGATGAATCTCTCACCGGATGCGGCTCAGTTTGGGTGGCACAGAAAATGAAAGAGGTGAACCGATGGTTTTTAATTTCTTGTACTAGGCTAGATTAAACAGACTAGATACAAGAGTTCAAGCTGTGGTTGTTTAGAAAATGAATAAAGAATGATAATGAATAGAATCAA